ATTACCAGGAAACGTTTGCTCCAGTTGCTAAAATCAATACCATCAGAGTTCTTATATCTCTTGCTGCAAATCTGGATTGGCTGCTCCATTGAAAGAAGTTTATATAGACCCCCTGCCATGATGTAATATGGCTTTAAGAACCAAGTGTGCACTGTGCAGACTGAATAAGTTTCTTTGCAACTTAAAATGGTCTACCAGGGCATGGTTTGGAAGATTCACCAAGTCCATGAAGGCTTTTGTGTATAGACAGAGCAATTCTGGTCATTTGTTATACTTGAAGCATAAGAAGGGTAAAATCATTGCATTAATTATTTATGTAGATGACATGATGGTGACAGGGGATGATCCTGAAGAAAGAACTGCAGTACAAGCATATTTGTCCAAAACAATTGAGATGAAGGATCTTGATCCCTTAAAGTACTTCTTAGGGATTGAAGTGTACATATCGTTAAAAGTTATTTTCTTGTCTCAAAGAAAATATGTGATATAGCTGTTAATAGAGATGGGAATGCTTCCTTGTAACTTGCTGATGTACCTATAGAGATGAACCACAAGTTGTGTGAATAGGAACATCCTATACCAACCAATAAGGAACAGTGTTAGCGCCTTGCTGTGGGGTTAATATATTTGGCACACACTAGACCTGATATGTCAGATGTAATAAGTGTAGTTAGCCAATTCATACATGCTCCTAGTATTGAATATAGGAATGTTGTTGATTGTATTTTGAGATACCTAAATGCTGCTATGGGGAAATGACTTATGTTCTCTAAGCATGGTCATTTGGATGTTTCTGGATATACTGATGCAGATCGGGTAGTATCTATTACTGATAGGCGTTTAACCTCAGGTAATTTCACATTTGTTGGAGGCAATCTCATCACTTAGCGAAGCAAGAAACATAATGTTGTTGCCAGATCAAGTGCTAAGGCAGAGTTTCAAGGTATGTCCCATGGCATTTGCAAGTTGTTGTGGATTTGAAATTTACTTCTAGATTTGGTTTTTAGACCAAAAAAAGCCTATGCCCATGAGGTTGCATTGTGATAACAAGACCGCAATCGACACTGCACACAATCCAGTTCGACATGATCAAACCAAACATGTTGAAGTGGATCGACACTTTATCAAAGAAAAGTTGGAAGCTAGATTAATTTGTATACCTTTTGTTTAATCTGAGGATCAATTAGCGAATGTTCTTACAAAGGTTGTATGTAGCAATGTTTGTCACAACTCACTTGACAAGTTGGACATTGGTGATATCTATGTACCAACTTGAGGAAGAGTGTTAACGTGAGCATTAGCAGTCCTGCCTAATTAGATTTCCTAGTTGACTTTATATTAGGGTTTCCTATGAATGTATAATTACCATGTATTGTCTCTTGTAAATCATATGTATACTTGCTTCCATAACGGAGAAGAATATACAAAAAATGCCAAATACTTTAGTACATCGTACCCATAATAATTTGAGTAATGCTAAGAAGATAATTTTTTTTAAACCAAATTTGCAAACTATAAGATGTGTCCTCAATAAGAAATAAGCACCTAAATCAACACTTAAGTAACAACCCAATCATCAACAACCACGTCTATAATTTAGAAAATTTGGTTTCAAAAGTTAGCATTACCCTAATAATTAATTTTATAGCATGCACCTTTCAATTAATGTGATCTAAATGAAATTTTTGTACTGCCAAAAAATTGAAGCAAATAGTAGCCCTTACTCACTTTATTGCTTTGATTCATAACTAAGTTGTTGTATGCATATGTGGAGCTCAACGTGCCAGTAGGCAATGCCTAATGGCACTATGACTCAATCAACATTTAACATGTGGTAAGATTTTTAATTATGATTTTAAAGTTATGTTACCTTTTAAAGATCTCATAATTACATAAAAACTGAAAATATATTATAAAGATTAGTAAAATTAAAAGTAGACTCCAACCACCCAACCGGGCCACTCTTCCATCATTTGAGAATTCACCCCTTCGGCGCGGATGTTGGTATTGTTTGACTAAACTTTGAGGGAATAAGGTTTATATTTTCCATTCTCATAGATTTTCCTATCATGGTTAGCCTAATTCTTTGAACAATAAAGGAGAAATATTTTGTGTTTGAAGAAAATGGTTCATCATTGGAAAAAAAAAAAAAAAAAAAAAAACGAATCTGGATTCAATTATATGTAATCGTTTTTCATGACCAAAGTCTATACAATATATTCCAATTAATCTATTGAGAGAAAATATGAAGAGGTGGGATTTCAATTCTTTAAAGACGGGAGATTTAACACATAAACTAGAGGAACATGGTGAATGCAACAAGCATCCCTTACTTAGGAAACTGATCAACATCAACCCATATTAAAGTTTATATACTAGGCTTTTCCAATGGAGGAAGTCTGGGTGGGTGTTTTTGTTTTATTTGTTTTAGCGTTGGAAATAATATTTTTTTAGTTTTTATGTAAATAAGAAATTGTAGTTAAATTTAACCACGTGTCAAATTTTGATTTAGTTGTAGTGCCACTAGGCATTGTCTAGTGGCACGTTGTGCCCCACACAAGTTTTTCTCTTAATTATCAGACACTTATATCTCATTTGATAACAATTTAATTTTTAATTTAGGTAAATTATACAAAACTACCTCAATTATGGGTTTATGACAAACTCATACATCATCTTTTAAACATTGCAATGTCATACATCAACTTCAAATTTCATTGCAATGTCAGACCTCCGTTAACTTTTCTGTCAATTTTTCTGTTGAATGATGACGTGGCAATTGTAGGCCTATATTTTTGCTGATATGGATATCAAGTTTGCGCCAAGTGGACAAGAAACTAACAAAAATTTGTTATTATTTATAATATTTGAAAACTAATAAAAAAGTTTTATAAAATTAAAAAAAAAAAATCAATTTAGGCATTATATTCCCCACATTCATCTCCACAGCCACCTCGCCACACTCGAGTCCCGACCTTCAACCACTCCAGTTCTTATCCTTTCTCTCCGTCTCCACTGTCACTGAAAATCCCACACGCTGTCACCTCAACCCCACAATGGGTATCGGAAATGACTTCTTCTCCTTCTTCCACTAGTGCTTCGGAAAGTCGCAGTTTTGGGGGATGGCGGGAATAGGTGGAGGACACGGGGAAGGTGGGATGTGATATGATTTGATTTTCTTTTTTTCTTTTTGTTTTTTGGGAATTATTTGGTTTGGAACTTGGAAATAGATTTCTAGGTTTGGATTTGGGGTGGGATGGTTTGATTTTTAGGGTTTGGAAATACATTTTCTAGGTTTGGTTTGGAACAACGTGATTTTCTGGGTTTGAAAGTAAATGAAGGGAGACCCAAGATTTGAGAGTAATTGAAAAGGAATTGAAAAGATGGATGTATTTGAGGTTGGGGAGGTCGGGGAGGGATGAAGTTCTAGGGAGATGAGATATAGAGATTTTTTTAATTAATTTAATTATTTTTTTCAATTTAATTTTAATTACTAAATAAAAAATCAATAATTTACAATACTTAATTATTTTTTTCAATTTAATTTTAATTACTAAATAAAAATTAATAATTTATCAATAATTAATTAATTTTTTATTCCTGTTGGCAAAGGAGTCGACCCTGTTCCCACCACATCATCATTTAACATCCAAATTGATAGAAAATTTAATGGAGGTATGACATTGCAACAAATTCATAAGTTGATGTATGATATTGTAGTGTTTAAAATATGAGGTATGATATTGTGGTTTGACCTATAGTTGAGTTAGTTTTGTGTAATTCACTCTTTTAATTTTATATTTTGTAAAAGAAGATAAGTATGTAGGAAAATGAAGAATAAAAATGAGTAAAAGAAAAAATAGTGAAACACATGTCAAATGAATTTGTATATTAAAAATGAAAACTAAAACTAAAACAAATAGTTATCAAATAAGACATTATTAAGCATGGACCGAACCACCTTGGGCCCAGAGGGGACAAATGCCCCCACTCAGACTTTTTGGTACACAAAAAAATGTATATGCTTGTGACATTAGTAAGGTGTATAACTAGTTTACTTGCTTGTGACGTTCGTATTAACTCCTCCAATTGCAACTGCCAACGTTGAAAGAGCATTTTCGGTAGTATTTTTTTTGAAGAATCGATTGATAAATCGGATGGGAAATCAATGTATGAATGATAACATGATTATTTTTATATAGAGAGATATTTGATGGTATTGGTAATGAAGTTGTCATGCAACGTTATCAAAACATGAAAACACATCGAGAGATATTGTAATATATTATATGAAAAATCTTATAGACTAATATATAAATATTTTATTTAGTAAATTCTTTAGCTTTTTATTTTGTGACTTTGTTGTTTAACAATGCACCCATCCATACAAATTTCTAGCTTCGTCTCTATTATTAAGTGATATGTTATAGTAAAAAATCAATATTTAGTTATTAACTCTACTATTATAAAGTCAAGCTCTCACTTTGGAGTCACAAGCTTCTAAAATAAAATTTGGACAAATAAAGCACTAAAAGCACATTTGTTAAGTATACTCTTTAATGCATATGTTAGTTAAATTTAGATCTATTGATCTCTTTGTAGACGTGAATGCAACTATTTCTCTTCATATTATAATACTTTACACTAGTGTAAATTACCCTTCAACTTTTTAATTTATTGATGATAGTCTTACAGGTGGGCCCATGCACTTTGTTGAATTAATATGGTTTGATTCTTCTTGTAAGTTTTTAATTCGAATGCAAACCTAGATGGACTATTATTTTATCAGAAATGCTAAGTAGATTTTTCTAATGTAGACTCTCTAAATATTTTCTAATACCTCACAATTTAATATTAATTATTATATTTTATTATAAAATATTATGTAAAATATATAAGCTAATAGAGAGTTTATAAAAAATCATACTTTTCAAGAGATGTCCTTATCATTTCTCTTATTTTATACACACGTCTCGATATTAATGAGGAAAGTTCCTGTAGTGTGAAAAAGGTGTCGGTGATGATCATGGACTTTCATCAGTCTTTTTTTTCTTTTTTTCTGAGACTAGACCTTCATCAGTTTATATAGTATTAACTTGACACCCAATCCACCAAAATAAAGCTAGAATTCCAACAATCCTATACACCAAGCCTTCTAACCTCGTTTCTCTGTCTTGAGCAGAACCCCATCTCAACAAAAACTTGTATTTTTAGGCCATGGCCATGTTGATCAGAAGCTCAATGAGTTCTCGCAGTTCTAGGCATTTCCAGGTTTCAGTTATAAGACCCAGTTGTCTGAGTACTAATCACTGGGACCGATGTCGTTTCCTCGAAAATCGGAGCTTCTTGCAGCCACTTATCATGAAGGTCGAAAATGGTAGCCACAAAAAGATGTAAGTAAATTTTTTCCTAGCTGTATATCTTCAACTCCATGAGTTTCCAGTTAAATTTGATTATCATATGGATATAGTACGACCCTTCACTACATTATCACGGAAATTTTTTCTCGGCTCAAAGCTGATTTCGTAACTGCAGCATTGAGTCGAAGGAGGTTCGTCAAGAAAGACTAGTCGGGGAAAACCCGTCGCCCAAAACCTTAGCCAACGAAAACACAATTTCGTCGGCCAAGTGGTAGTTACCTTGAGGGATATACTCGTCGGGTGTATGTGCGTTGACCGAATTAGCACGACAAAATCTTCTTGCCCGACGAGGATATCAAAAAAATTAAATAATGTAATGATCAACTTGAACTCTAAGAAATCAAATTTAAAAATATTGAAAAATTTTGCGCAATGAAACGTCTGTCAGACTAACCTTTTTCAATTTTAAAAATAATAATATTAAATAATTTACTTAATTCTAATTTTTTAAAAACAATATTTATAATAAATATTAGAAAACAATATCTACAATCAAACTAAAATTGTTTGTACAATTATATTACAAAAAACTAAACAAAAAAACATAAACTACTAGGGTGGCTGGTGGAATGGCTGCAAAAGCTCGATTGGGGGCTTTGGAATCCTGATGCTAGAAGCTAACAAGGATTGGGCTATGACAACGAAGTACAAGTGTGTTGCTTCTTCTTGTAAGCGCTCACCTTCTTCTTTTTGGCGTGCTATCTCCATCTCCACCATCTAAAGTCTGCAATTAGTCTTGGTCAAAGGATTAGAACTCGCTCAAGAAGAAAACCCACTAAGTTCCTGAACCCCCAATCCTAGGCCACAAACTTTCTTGCCATTCCGTCGCCTAACCCCGTCCATCAACAGTTCTAGAGACACCTCTTAATCAGGTGTCAACTCCTCCATAGGCACGTACGGTTGCTACTGGGAGAAGTTGACGAGGTACTCATCCTTCTTTTGCATCATATATGCCTAAAAAAAAGGAAAACCAATTCAAATTATCAATCATAATTTAAACTTATTTATTGCAATGAAATTTACAATTAAAATAATAGAAATGAATACTTACATAAATTTTTTGAGGTACTCATTGTCATAATTGACATGCGTCATAGGGGTCGAGAATCGGATTGGTGAAGGTACGACTTTTTCTCTCGAATAGCTTTATTTTCCGCTGATTTTTTTCTATCCATTAAAAAATATTAATTAAACTTAACTAAATAAAATATTGACTAAAATTAAAATATAAATAAAATTTAATTACTCGAAAACTTTCACTCTAAAAATGAGTGCAAGTCACTGCCACTCGTCCACCCTTTCCACAACCACCTGGGGTGGATCTGTAAGAGCTGCCTTAGGCCATGCGCAACTTTCGTAGTACTTGTGCAACTTGTACTTCCACTATTTATAGTAATTCCTCAACACTCGGTCTATGCAATCGAGACAAGCCTTGTCCGGTTATCCCACTCAATGTTGGCCTAAAATACCCCCCCTGAAAAAACAAATAGCTTAGTATAAAACCATATAATTAAGTAAAGGAAAAAAATTAAGAAAGTTATTGCATACTTACCAAAAGCTGTCGGTTTATATCGGTACAGACGTGGGTTGTGCTTCTTCTAGTAATCTGCGACCATGGGCCATTTGGTGCATATGATGACACTGATGTTGTGAGTTAGCAAACTATTGACTTTGGCACTCACTCGGCGGTGAATAGGGAGGTATACAACTCAGATCCGCTACCATATGACTCGAGTGATCTGGTTGCTCGCCAACCCCTTATATATCCTCTGAGTTTTTTATGCCTCAGGCCGGTGGAAAGGTATCCATACCTCACCTCATCAATGACCATTGAATTGGCCTCTACGCTAAAGCTGCCCTAATAAGGGTTAGACGGGATGGGGGCTACCATAAGTTTGTGGCGACTGCAGCTGTGAAGTCGCCTGACAGATCAAACAGCTTAGGTAAATGGTGCATAAGTACTCATGTCGGCGGCTGACTCGGTTGTGGCCGTTTGGGTCTTGCTGACCATTAGAGTGGCATTGGGGGTTGACCGTTCACTTTGAGCAGAGCCGCAGCCATTAGCGATCAGCCGCGAAGACATCTGCAAAAAAACCACATTCTTTCTAAAATTTGCTAAAATTTCAACTAATTTCCTAAATTGCCTAAAATTTCACATAGTTTCTAATGTGTTCCAAAAATTTCACATATTTCTAAGACTTCAAATAATTTCCAAAATTTCACAGATTTCCAAAATTTCAAATAATTTCTAAGATTTCAAATAATTTCTAAAATTTCATATAATTTCCTAAAATGTCAAATAATATCTAAAATTTCAAATAATTTCTAATATGTTTTACCACCTTCCCCACCCCACTACCCTATCCCACCATTTGACCAACTAAAACCACCACTATACTCGCCCCCAATGCTGCATTCCGCCATCCCCACCACCTAAAGCCACCATAATAGCCCACCCCACCGTACAACACCCTACCCTACCCTATTATCAGGAAATGTATTTCATTAAATGAATGATAAAATTACATCAGTTAGTATTTATACAATAGCTGTACACTTAACAGCTCACCATAACAAACTAACTACCCTACAACCACTTATATCAGAAAATCAAAGTAATTACAAATTTGACACTGTTAACTTTTGTCTTTTACAAAACTATCTTTAATATGCCCCCTCAAACTGAACTTGGGCAGCCGAAGTGAAAGTTTGGCTTGGAGCAACAAAAATCTTGGCTTGGACAATGATTTGGTGCAAATATCTGCAATTTGATCTTGTGAGCACACAAAATGAACAGTGACAGCATAAGAAAGAACTTTTTTCCCGATACAGTGGTAGTCTATCTCCACATGTTTGGTCCGGGCATGAAATAAGGGATTCTTGGCTAAAGAAATGGTAGAGATATTGTCACACCACAACTTAGGAAGACAAGGAAGAATCACACCAACATCAACCAGTAATTTGCAAAGCCAAGTGATCTCAGCAATAGTGTTGGCCAGGGATCGATACTCTACTTCAGTGGAGGATCGTGCCACTGTTGGTTGCTTTTTAGCACTCCAGCTAATGATGAATTTCTCATAAAAATGTAGAAATCTCCTGTTGATCTTCTATCTAGAGCACACCCTGCCCAATCTGCATCTGAGAAAACATTAATAGTGAGAGGGTTTGAAGTCTTTGGAAACCAAAGACCTAAGTCAAGTGAGCCTTTCAAATATCGCAATATTCTTTTGACTACTTGAAAATAAGACTGTCTTAGTTGATGCATGAACTGACAAACCAAATTAACTGCAAAGGAAAGATATGGCCTGGACCAGGTAAGATATTACAAGCCCCTTACAATTGATCTGTACTCTTCTAGATTAGAGAGAAAATGAGAGAAATGATCTAATTTAGATGTACTTAGAGGTGTAGCACATGGTTTTGCACCTTCCATATTTGTCTTGTTGACCAGATCAAGGATATATTTGGTCTGAGAGATAAAGATACTAGAAAAAAAGACCTTTTAACTTCAATTCCAAGGAAAAAATGAAGAGAACCCAGATCCTTGATTGGGAAAAGAGCACTAAGTTGAGCTATTGTATCTTGGCAAGCTTGTGAAGAATGACCTGTGACCAAGATGTCATCAACATATACAAGAATAAACACCAAAGAAGAATCTTTCTTGACAAATAGTGAGTGATCATTCTGTGATCCACTAAATCCCAGAGACTTAAGTGCACCATGAAGCTTCTCATACCAGGCTTGAGGAGCTTGCTTGAGCCCATAAAAACTCTTGTGTAGCTTACAAACATGATTAGGCTTGGTAGGATCTTGAAAACCAGATGGTTGCTGCATAAAAACATTCTTAGACAGAGTTCCATGCAAAAATGCATCGTTGACATCTAATTGGTTGAGAAACCAATCATATTGAAATGCAAGTGTAAGAAAAAGCTTGATAGTCACTGGCCTTGCTACATCACTGAAAGTTTCTGTATAGTCTAAGCTTTCCTGTTGATGAAAGCCTTTAGTTACTAAACGAACTTTATACCTGTCAATAGTACCATCACCCTTCCTTTTAATTTTGAACACTCATTTACACCCAACAAGATTCTGAGATGGGTGAGAAGGAACAAGTGACCAAATGCCTGTATTTAACAATGCATTGAACTCCTCCTGCATTGCTTGTCTCCAATGAGAGTGTTTTGAAGCTTGGAGATAAGTGGTAGGTAGATAATCATGAGAGATGTGAGAATGAATAGGGTGTTTATTGGCAGAGTATGCCTTAGGTTTAAAAATTCCAGATTTGGATCTTGTTTGCATATGGTGACTGTTTTAAGGTGGTGGTGTTGGTGGAGGTGGTGAAGGGTTAAGGATAGATGGAGAAGATGTAGTAATAGGTGAGGATGTAACATGATCAATAGGTATTGAAGGGTAGACTAGTGCATCAATAATCTTAGTAAAGGTTAGGGTAAAAGGTATTTGAGGAGAATGGTTAGAAATTGAAGATGAGACAGAAGGTTGAACTTGGGAAATTTGACGAAATGGGAATGTCATGTCATCAAATATGACATGTCTAAAAATGTAAACCCATTTTGATTAAATGTCAAGGCACCTATAACCCTTGCGATTTAGACTATAGACTAGAAAGACACAAGGTTTACTCTTAGGCTCTAATTTGGAATTTGTATATGGTTTTAACCAAGGAAAACACATGCACCCAAAAACAATCAGTGTTGTATAATCTAGAGACTTGGTGAAAAGATTTTCCCAATGACAAGATCTAGTTATGGTAGGAAATCTGTTAATGAGATAAACAGTTGAGGAGAATGCCTCAACCTAGTAAATATGAGGAATACTATGAACAGCTAGAAGTGTTCGAGCAATTTCCACTAAATGCATATGCTTGCGTTCCACACAACCATTTTGTTCTAGCGTGTGAGGGCAAGATAGTTGATGATTTATGCCATTATCTTTGAGATATTGAGTGAACACAT